CTCCACATTATGTAGATGAATTTTACTTAAATCAATTTCCAAGAGGTTTTTCTGAGACTAATTACAATATTAGAAGAGAACCTGCAGAATTTAAAGACAACACCAATGAAGCTTCTAATATACAAATAATTCAGCAGCAACAAAAAGAAGTAAGTATTTTTATTGAGATTAGGTTATTTTTATTAAATTATAAGATATAATAGTTTGTATATTTAATAAATTATTAATTAATTTCAGAATACTTTTAATAAAAAGAAATCATTTACTAAAAGAAGATTTGGGGATAATAATACTTTGCAAAATGAATCAAACAACAACTGGCAAGGTTATGAAATTGATCTTTTGATTCAATATATTTCTGACAATTTTAATGAATATAAAAAGGGTAATAAAACCAAGTTATTCAATGAAATGTCTGCAAATTTATTGAAAAACAAAGAACCTGCTGCTATCAAAAGCAAATTATCAAGGATGATTAAAACTTATAGTGAAGTCAAGAAACACAATGAACAAACTGGTGTAGAAAGAAAAGATTGGGAATGGTTTGATAAAATGGACTGCATATTTGGTATCCGCGAAAATATTTCACCTTCTTTCATTACAAATAGATTTACTGATACTGAAAATGAAGAACCTTTAAATAATGAATCCAAACCTGTCAAGAAATTGAAGAAAAATAATGTAGATGCTATTGCTACTGCCATCACTATGATGAGTGAAACTAGAGAAAGAGTATGGGATAAAAAAATTGAATTAGAAAAAGAGAAAATGGCTATTGAATTAAACAAATTAGAGGTAGAAAAACAAAAATGGGAATTTGAAAGAGAAAAGATGAAAATGGAATATGAATTGAGATTGAAAGAGATAGAAGTTAAGCTTCATAATAAAAATTCAAATTAATTGTAATTAGTAGAAATTAGTTCGCATCTCCTTTTGGTTTGCTGGTATAGTTAGTAATGATAATATAATAATAATAGTAGTAGCAATAATAATAATAATAATAATAACAATATAATAATAATAATAATAATAATAATAATAATAAAAATTTAATATGTGATCATTTTCGCGTTTGTGTAACCTTTAAAATCGCGTTTTTAAATTTAACAAACACTTATATTTAAAAATTTTATTATTATATATTGTAAAAAGGTAAATTTTATTAATTATTAATAATTTGATTCATTATTTGTTCTCTTTTTCTCTCTCCTTCCCTCTTTCTTATTATTTCACTTTGATTTGTTATAAATTCATCATTATCACTATCATCTATTTCACTATCATCATCATCATTATCTTCACATAATTCTTCTAAACTATCATTATTTAATTCTAAAAAATTATGTAAAATGATTGCACATTCAGTAAATCTAACTGCAATAGAAATTTTTCTAGTGTGTAAATCTTTTAAAGCAATAAATCTGTTTTTAAGTCTACCAAAAGCATTTTCAACTACTACTCTATGTAAAGAATGAATTATATTAAATTGAATTTGTGAAATAATTTGAGGATTTGTAAAAGGTTTAATTAAAAAAGTAGATAAAGGATATGCTGAATCTCCAAGTAAAAATTCATCTTCTTTAATAATTTTATAAACATTTTGATAAAAATATGAATTTTTATATACTTTAGCATCATGCACTGATCCAGGCCACCCAATTTCATAATCTATAAATATGCCTTTATAATCTACAATTCCTTGTAATTGTATAGAATATTTTTTTTTCCTATTCCAATAAACTTCAGGTTGTTTTAATGGAGCATTTGCTAATATTATATGACACCCATCTATTGCACCTATAACATTTTCCATTCCACCAATATTTTTAAATCCTTCATGTGTAACTTGTTTAATTTCACCAGTTGGCCATTTGATTAAAGTTTTTTTTAATGAAGAAATTGCAATCATTATTCTTTTACAATATAAATAAACAGTTCCTTCAGCAATTCCAAATCTTGAACATATTTCAAAAATAGTTTCTTTTGAACCAATCCTTCTTAAAAAAATTGCAAGTTGTAATTCAACAGAAGTTTGTAAATTATTACTATTATTTTGAAAAATTGGATGAGTATTTAACATTGATACAAGGTGTTGAAAATTGATAGAATTCATTCGCATTATTATTTTAAATCTATTATCATCATATTTTGGTAAAATGTTATGATACCAGTCTTTTGATTTTATTACATTATAATTTCTTTGCTCTAAATATCGTGTTCCAAGTAATGAAGTCAATCCAAGCATTACCATTTCATTTTCTTCTTCATCACTTGAATTATCTTCATTTTCAAGTAAATCTTTATCTTCTACATCTTGACAAGCTTGAATTACATAAAAAGAAAATAAATTTTTTATTTTTTTATGGTCCGACATTAGATAAAAAATTATTTTTAAAAAAAA